GTGTATAGCAGCCCTTTTTTCTCAAAAACTATGATCATGAAATTAGTGAAGTATTATATTTTAAAATATTTATCCTTCTGCAAAATTATTCAATGGAAAATTAAATTCTGACTGAAGATGCTATTGTATTTTATATGTTCTCAAAACCTTCATTTTTTGTATATATCACTAGTACGATCTTCAATAAGATAAAATAATTTGAATAAAACTATAGTGGTTTTCATTGTTTACTCACAAAATAGAAGAACTTAAAGTCTACAATATATATATATTAAAAAATCACCTCCATCTACAGAAGGTCATATTTTATATTTTGTGTATTTTTGTTCTTCATGCTAATTTTTCATTCTTTAATATGCATTTTTCCAATTAAATCAAATTTGTACCTATTCTATTTTAGGATAATCTGACAAAAAATATCAAGCATTATTCTCAACTACTTGCCAAAAGAAAACTGGAAAATATATTAATTATACCTCTGTAGACACTAGTACTTTCACAAAAATGAATACTCCACACAGGTATGTTAAAAGTGTACACTATTAGAATGCTGGGATTTTAAGATTTCAGATGTGGAAGATACACAACTTCCATATGACAAAATCTTCTGTCTCAAATTTCATACAAAATCCTATGTATGACCACAGAACATGTAACAACCCCACATGATAGTGGGGGAACAAAACAAATGAATAAATAAATAATTATTTTGTACTACAAAATGTTATGTGCAAAATACTTTGGAATATGCCTTTTTTGTTTGTAAAAAGGATTAGTGAAACAAAAAAATAAAATATGTCAGCTTCCAGTGATGAGGGATCTAATCCAGACAACAAAGTCATCAATGGGAATCTTCCCTTTGTTTGCAGTGAGATTTAAATTAGAGACTGTATTAGAAAAAGTGAATTAGGTTCAGAGCAAAATACCTCTGTACAGGTGTAGGGGTGTGTGTGCATGTATGTGCATGTGTGTTTGTGGGTGGGTGATGGATGGGGAACGTGTGTGTATATATGAATACACAATCATACATATATAAACACACATAATTGTCATTATTAAGTATAACAGGGTTAGCAAGCAGTACAAGCAAAATGCCTCTGCCTTTCAGAGAAGGCTAGTTTACTATTATTGGGGTTTTGATTTATTATACTACCATATACACTTCCATAAATATTGCTGACAAAATTAATACGCAAGAAAAAAAAAACATTTTCTTACTCTGATCAAAGATGCAATAATCAAATCATAAAACACAAAACCAATAGCCAATCAATTGAATCAGACTGCCCATAGGCTTAATTCAAGCAAGCCATTCACTGAGCTATGTGATGGATCTGTCAAATCCAGTACAGCATTACAGACATACTAGCAACATCAAGTGAACATGCAATGACAAAATGACAATACGCCCCACTGCCATGCTTTGACTTCTTCTACCTCTTCAATATAAAACTTGATGACTTTGCTAGTTTCTCTTACTTCAGGCTTGGACAGAAATCTAACAGCTATGTTTTTGTCTTTATTTTAAAAACTATTACATGAAAGCTGAATAAAAGCTCTACAAACATTTTATTGAGATCTGATTTAGTGCCTTTTGCACATCCTTACAATTATTTTTCCAAATGCTCTCAGCTTAAAGAGTTTGGAAAGCAAAGTGCCAGAATATTGAAGAACATACATAGATCAGTAGGTCCCCTGTTTTCAGTTATAAGAATTGGAATATTTATCAGAACTATTTTAAATATTGGAAAGTTAAGCATGATTTTTTAATCCACTTTTGCAAAGAGCTTCAAATCTTTAGGTGCAATTTATGCGGATGACAGATCACACAGTATAAAAATTAAATTCTAGATTTTTTTGAAGTTGTATTCAGTGATTATATTGCTTCATAAATAAAACAAAATATACCTTTTCATTTGTTTTGTTGTTTTTCTTTTGCAATCCTAAGAAACGACTGGAGAAATCTGCAAGATCTACCTCAGTTGGGAAAGGGTTTTTAGTATATGATTTGTCTTAACAAATACTTAGGGGTTTGCATTCATTTGTTTCATGAGATTTCCTTGCCACCTCATTCTCCCCTAAATATCTGTTCATTGCCTTCCAGCAGTATTTCCAGCTGTGACAAACAAGGATACCATTCCATTTCTTCACAATAGAGCTTTCTTACAGTGATCATTATCCATTGACTTGGTGTATTGATCCTGAAGTCCCAAGTCTTTTGGTTAACCTTTATTTTTAATTTACCAAAACATGTCTCCAATCTAAAGACTTCCTCTTTCCATCTCCTGATTTAAGCAGCATGTCAAATATGGAACATTGCCATTCATCATGTGTATAGGCTGTGATAGAAAAAAAACCCAACTTTTTTTTTATTTTTTAAATTCATATGAAGTAGTATTTTCATGATATGTCACTGCTTCAATAGTACATATTCACTGGTTCTCACTTCATTTTTCTGGGCATTGATTAGACATAAACAGTAAATATATTTCATGTGTAATCAAATTAAATAGGGGCTGAAATCAACACTAAATAAGAGTAGTTATAGGGAGATATGGAATCTTCAGTACCGTCAGAGGACAGCAGATGATTTTTACATTAAGAAGTAAAGATACAAGCAGTTGCGCTGAATTATGTTTCAGCACTTTCAATATTAATAATTCACAAAATTTGCTAAATCATTCAAAAATGAATGAAAGGTTAATCAAATTAAGCAAATTGTAGTTGTGAGTAATCAGAGGTATCCCTGTTTGCACATAGCTTCCCATATGCAAAGAAATGTTTGAGCAAATTGTTGTTTTGTTCTCTATGTTAGTTTTAGGCTTCTCCTCTACAGAAATTCAGTTGCAATATTTCTAATTAAGACAAGAAACCATATTCATTTGGGGGAAGAAGATCGAAGATGAGAGTTAACCACATTAAAAAAGAGAAGATATATTAAAAAGAATCCAAAAGAGATAAAATTCATTGAAGATATTTAAAATTATGCAAGCAAAGACAGGTGATTACAATTCTAATTACACACGAAGTGTATCTGAAAATTAGACATTTTTTCCAAAAAATAATTAAGGGTTGTAACGACTGCATTAATACTGATGCCATCTCAAGTTTCCTTCACAGCATTTAAGAGCACTATATTCTTAGACAAATCCTTTACTTTTTTTGTCAGCATAACACTTAATGACGTTGACTCTCTACCCATAGCAGAACATTTGACCAACTAATGTTTTATCTTACAGCATTTGACTTGTTTTAGGAGAAGTTACATTAATTCATAATTAAAGCATTTAAAAGTCATCTTGGTACTGATCAGTTTCTCTATGTAATGTAGAGGTTTTCAGAAATTCACCTGTGCATAGGAATAAACACCCTATAAAATGATCCAGGGACATCTGAACGATGTCTGGCAAAAAATGACTGACCCCAGGAGGTTATCTGTAATTTTGTCCTTTCTGTTTAATAAGTTTTTAGAAGCAGGGATTGCTTTGCATTATTAGCTCTCAGAAAAATACTAGAGCTGCTACATGCTAACACACCTTTGTGGAAATGAAATGAAACTACTGAGTAGCACTTCACCTTCATAGGTTACCCTAAGTAGAACCAGTACATCGCGAACAAAGTGCACACAGCAGTATCTAGTTTATATTACTGATCCAAAATTAATAGAAAGTAACTTGCTTACCTGTCTGACACAGCATGCCTCAGCCACACATGCAAATTATTTTATTCACATAACTTTAAAGAAATATATCTTCATTACCCAGAATAAGCATTTGAAAGGCAAATATGCATGCATAGCATTGTAACATTCATACCATGGTACTTTATTCTAAAAATACAGAATCCATGAACAGCACTTCAATCTAAGAAATAGTTCACTGCATTTGCGTAATCTGTTGATTTCTTTAAGAAACAGAAACATTTATAACAATGTCTAATTTAGCACCCAAAGAAAATTTTCAGTACATATTGAAGACTTAAGAAATTATCTCCGTGATTCCAAGGGAAAATTTTCTTAAATCAGGAATTGAGAAGTGTGACCTTACTTCTCACTGTTATTGTGAAGCAAAATACATGCATGTATCTGTCTTTCACAATACACACCCTCCCTTTACGACTATACACTATTCAAGAACTTGAGAAGTATTAAAGAGAGCATAGATTTTGAGGATACTGTTTGTGAAGAAAACATAGAATATTATTTCTTTTAATTACAAAATCATGTCCACACACTGCAAAGACTTAATTTTATGCAATTTGACAAAATCCTATTCCTACTGAAGTCAACAGCAATTTAGACGTTGACTTCAAAGGGGTCCCAATATTCATCTTGCAAGAAGACAAGTTAATTTATGTGATGTTGCTTTTAGTTTACAGAAGTTAAGTCTTTGCATGCTTCTCTTATGCAGATTTTAATAATCTTTTATTCCTGGTATTATTTCGACCAAATGTGGTTTACATTTTGAGGATAAAAATCTAGAATAAAGGAATAATAGCTGAATTCTTTCCAATATTTCAAAAAATCAAATGTCTGGAAAGAAAGCAAATGGAAAAAATGTTGTTTTGCCTTGGACAGTTCAAGCTTAGACACAATTCATTCTCAATTTCCACTGACTAAAACAATGTCAATGAGAATTGAGGGCACTCAAGAGGTTCAGGTTCTAAATCAACTGAAATAATACTCCTAAGACGAATAATGATCTTTAGTAGCAGACCATCATGAAGCTGTACATATATTTATCTACATTGTACAAGGGTCACAGACGTTAACTGCATGATGTACAGCTCGGGAATGCGCACATCTCATGCCTGATTCTCAATTAAGGTCTAAAATCTCTCAATTTATGGCTATTCATGGATTATAATAAACCAGCCTGCTTTAGATATCACAATTATCTGCAGAGCAACAAGACAGTTATGAGACTTCAACAAGGCAAATTTATAGAATCATCTTCAACTTCCACTGGTCAAATATTTATTAGCAGTAAATGAGGTCTTACCTGTCACTGTAGGCAGCTGCAGTGGCAGTGGCAGGCTGGGCATACCGGTAGGCAGCATAACCACCCTGAAACACAAACTCATGCTCTAACTGGCTTGCCACAGCACCTTAAATAACATTTTGCAAAATTTAGCGACAACTGAAAGAGTACTGTCATGCTCTAAGTTCAGTTAAGGGGTTAAATAGATAGGAAATATTTCAGTGAATTGTTAAGCAAAATTTATCACCACAAACTTGTACTTGTTAAGATTTGTCCCAGAGATCAGGAGAAAGCAATGAACTATATTCATCAACATCAGCTTTTTTACAAGGCAATACTGTATTCTTCCACAAGTTTCCAAGTACCAGTTGCTCTTATGAATGAGGTGTATGCAGATTCACAGAGCAACTTTGAACTTAAAAACTCAGCTAATAATCAATTATTTTTTGTACAAAATACGATTTATCATGTCTGGCTGATTAAACCTATGAATTTGTGCACTGAATTAACACTTAATGTTACATAGGTTTCCAATTTATACATAAAATTATAATGAAGAAGGAAAATTCTCTTCTTCCATGAATTAACATTCAGTTGTATGTAACAGTAATTGCAGCTGTTCAATTAAGCAAACAGGACAAACAAACACACATTTGAAAGGAATTGTGTGCAGTGATGCATTGATTATCAAACTGTGAAAACAGCAGAGCTTCCTGTTCAATGGACCACGGTGTTATATCAACCATTTCAAAATGATCTCAGCATGCCAATTAACAAACAGAGGCCAGTCTCCACAGATAACACAAACACGATTTACGTCCCAATTAGGGTTCACCACCCCATAATCCTCTGGGACAGGGGACTTTTGTATTTCCTTTCCCACCTTCCCCCGCCTTAAACAGTTGAATAGGAAAGAATTATATCAGTCAGCTTTGGATAAAATTCACTCTTTTGCTAAAGTGTTCACTTTAAATGATTGATTTTTTTTTTCTTTTTTTTTTGGAAGGCTGCATTCACACTAGATGTTAAGCTGAAGCATGAAGAATAGGCTACGATGTGTCAACCTTTCCTGTAACAGCAGTATGTTTTTACTGCAGCAACTTTTGTGTGTTTTTTATTTTGCTTTTATAAATAAAAATCAATTCTTCACAAAAGCAATTTCAACTACTTTTACAAGCGAGTTCCCCTTCTACTGCTCTACTTGGTGGAATCACTCTCATCCCTTACACGCGTAAACTTTTCTTGGTTTGAAGACTTGAGGCAGGTTGGTTTTGGAAATCAATCATTCAGCTGATAACGTCACAGCACCCTAAGAATAAACATATGTTTTACATATACTGACAGCTCATTAGAAACTCCGGGCTTTGAATTGTCAACTTACTTCAGGAACATCCTTTCTGATTTTTTCAAGTGCTCACACAGAGAATAGTACATTTGCCTCCCCACTCCTGGTCAGCTCCCTGCCAGCAGCAATTGTGTCACACAACCACTGGAAGAAGGCAGGTGCTTTCATAATCCCAGATATTCTCTCTCTTTTGCAGCAAGCTGCTTCTCTGCGCAAGCATGGAAGCATTGAGACGAAATACTTTCTCATTTCAGAACATTTGATTTTTATAAACCAATAGAAGGCTATTACTGTCAAAAATGTATAATAGGCAGATATTGCTTGCAGGTATGTGCATACAGGCAATGAGATGTCAAATAATGTCACCAAGTGCAAACTGAGCCAGGAAACAGTGAGGCTGAGAGATGATAATGCAAGCTGCACACTTGGTCTGGCTTCTGCTACAAGGAGAAAGGTGAGAGATTATAGAAATGTACCTGTTCTCCCCTCCTGGTTTTGTGAGTGCTAAATATAACATCTTGTTCCTTTTTTTTTTTTTTCTCATAAGTGCTGATATGAGGGTATACAAATGGTAAAAGTAGAAAGAAGATATTAAACCTGTTTTCACGATCCAGTCCTAAGAACTCGTGGCAGACAGCAAGTCATTCTACAGTATGACGTGATTCTGTTCGCCACATGCACGACTCCTTCGCTTGTCCTGTAGTCCGTTTCTAAAAGTCCTTATTTAAATGTGAAAGCCACTTAATTTCAGTCCACCTATGCACATAACGACTCCCATCGCAGTAGAGAATAGCGAATGGGTCACCACGAGAAGTATCAATATCTCAATGTTCTTAATCAGACAAAAATGAGACAGGCTAATCACATACTGGCTGGTCTTGAATCTGCAGATAGTAGGTGCTGTGAGGATTGGTTTTCTTTCATTTATTTAACTATCACTAAAAACTGGTCAGCATGTGAAGATGGATCCTTTCTTGCTCCCTAAATCTAAGTCTTACTTTCCTTTTATTTCTACATTTTGATTTGCGTTCATCAAAGAATTGCTGCTGAACAATGAAGCTCAACTTTGAACTTCATTAAGATGCTTTGGATTGTGAAAGTTGTGGAAAGACTGAGTCTAAAGCAATAAAAATTAAAAAAAAAAGAGCAAAGTTATTGAATTTGCCTGAATTCTTTGGAGATTTGAAATGCAGAATGCATTTGGTTATCCGGAAATCATAATTCCCTACCAGTCCATAATTCCCTGCCATGTCATGATTTCACATTTTTAACATAAGTTATCATATAGTCACACGTAAAAACATTATTAAGCAAATTATTTTTATGGAGTTCATGTTTTGCAGTTTTAGTGCGGTACTAAATTTTCGTATTCTGTTACTTCAATTACATCAGATGATTTAACATTGCAACAGCAAAATACTTGAAGGTACACTTTCTACTGGGAATCAGGGTGGGAATCTGATTCAAACCCCTGAACTCTAAAATTCTGTGAAAAGTTCTACTCTGCAATTTTTCTCTAATTTTGAACTTGGCTGGTATCTTAGATGAAGAATCCCTGGTAACATTCACTGCATATAAATGTCTTGAGTAATATATTAAATATGTATCTTCACGCCTTAGACTAGATTGCAAAATAAAATATTTAGAACAAAATTATGTAACAATTGCATAATAATACAGAACAGTTTTCAGTTCCTGTGTTTTAGGAATGTTTTAGGAACGCTTTTTTACCCCCTCATTAGGTACATTCAAACAGAATGTATCTGACTGTTAAGCTTTAAATTATTTTAAAAATTGAGTTGAAATAATAAATTCTACTGCCTTATCTGTGCTCCCATATTTGCTACTTCCAAAAGAACAATAACATAATGCTACAGCAGCTTAAGTTGCCTTAAAAAATTAAGTATAGAATCAATATATTTGCAGTCCAAATATGGAGATATATCTCACTGGTATAAAACACTGAATGGGACACTTAACAACAGTCATGGTTGTATTTCATGGGACATAAAGAAAATCTGTGATTTTGTGATATAATCTAGAAAATAAAATGCAACTGGTAGCCTGTTCTTATCATTTATACACTCAGAATCTATTTTCTCACATAATTATTTGAGTATTAGTAAGAGTTTACAAGAGTCTACATTCAGCAAAATAAGGTTTTTTCCATCAGTCAGCATGTCATACCTCCGGTAACTTATTGCCATACACAGGCTCCTGCAATACTGCTCTATAAAGAAACAGAAGTGTAATGAATGAGTAAGGAAAGAAGAATGGAAAGAAGGATCTAAGGAAGGAATTTAGCCAAATTCCCCGAAGTCACTCATTAAAATTTTCCTTTCGATGTTTTATACATCTCTGGGGCTCTGGCAAATTGAGAAAGAGCAGTGGGATCCGTGGAAGATCAGTAGCCAATTGTTACAGAGAAATCTGAATACATTTTAGAAAGAAATTGCAGAATTTTTAGATAAGATACAATAAAATGGAAATGAATGGAAATAAAATGCATCTGAATTTTTAAATAAAACATGTATATCTGTAGTAAGAATAATTTCCACAAAAGATGAGCTATACAAATGCGCATCTACAGATTACCATGTATACATGCGTGCACCTCCTCTAATACCTAAATTACTTTTTATCTTTATCTCAGATATATTGACAGTGTTTATTGTAGATACAGAAAAACTGAGTGACTCTGAAAGATGGGTATTTTTTTCATTAGTTTTGCCTATTACTAACATATTTAATACCCTATGTGAATATTAAGAATTATTTTTCCTCAATTTTTACTTCCTATACCTCCTTTCACCAAAGGATCGCAAAGTATTTGTGCACATAAATTAATTCAGGTTCAAAACCTTCTCTAGTATTGAGAATTATATCTGCCTTATTAACCAAAGCAGAGAAATGGGATTAAAAATAGCATGAATTATAGCCAGTCCAGCAAACTATAGAAAATATTAGTAATAATTTCCTCTTCCCTCATTCATAAGATACTGAGGTTTAGACAGTATTTGTTCTGCGCATGGTATAAAACTTTGGGAGAATTTAAAATATAATATCCATCACTTCTTTGTGTTGGCTCAACTTCTGGGACAGGCCTACGTGAAAGGTTCATGTTATTTCTATATTATGCTCCCAGAGAGAGGTATCTGTTGCCTCAGAGAAGCTCTCGGTGATGCTTCCAAACTGACACCACCTGTATGAATTCCAACCAAGTACAATGACCAGGAGTGATCTAGCTTTTTTTCTTTTTTTTTAATGTAGTTTTTATATCACAAGTAAAGATCAGAGAGATGAAAAGACATTTCATCACTAGATCTCAAGACTTTTAAAAAGGTATCATGGTGTGTTCCAGCACATAGAGCACTAGGAGGAACAATCCACTGCTCCTTGGGGACTCTTTTGCCCTTGGAAAAGTCATTTCTCCATTTCTCATTCTGTTTCTGTGAGTCATAGGAAATGGCACATCCTTCCACTTACAAAACACAAAAATCTTTCGCTGTTAAAGGAAAGACTTCGCATCCTTGCTTTTCACATTAGAATAGTGCCTTTTAGGGTATCTGATTGCATCAGTGGACTTCTACCTAGTACCAAGGGAACATTGCTTAGGTAATTATATCTGCTTTTTCCTTGGGAAATAAATATGTGCTCCACCCTCAATATCACCCTGCCTTTGAGCTAAAGGAGATGACAGTAGCTACCGATAAATTCTATACCCCTGATCACAAAGGAGGCCTTATTTTTGATCAGCAGCTCAGGAAAAAATCTTAAACCTATGTACTTGTCTGTTGTCATGGACTCTCACCAGCTGCAGTATCCAGGTCCAGAATCCTGAGAACAAGTTAAAAAATCTTGCAGTGAATAACAAGACTGACTAAAGTACATGGTTAAACCGTATTAGCAAGGGACTTCTAAAGCTGGTGATGACGGGGTTTGAAAGTTTCTCATATTTCTTAGCCTTCCCACATTTTAGGTGTGCATTGAAGGCTGACATGTTCTCGAAACACTCTTTATGAAAATGGTAAAAAAAAAAGTAACATTTAAGATAAAGCAGAGCAATAGTGTAGAGCTATTATTCTAACTGCATATTTCTACGCTGTTAGGATTTTTGCTTCATTTTGTGGACCATATTTTCTTATTTTCACAGGTGTCAATCTTCATCTAGGAACTTCTGTAGTTGCTGGCAGGCAACCTTAATTCTCTTTTAATGACTTTTTCTCTTAGTGAATCAATACTTAATTTTAAAAGGTCTTCCTTACTTCCTAATCATCTACTTTATTTTTCCTACTCAAAGGTGCATTTAAAAAGGAATTCAATAGCTCAGCTATTTCAGAGGCATTATTAGATTTCAGATAGAACTATATGAAATATAGAATATATTATATTACATCTAGAATCACAGCTGTTGATTTTTCATTTTAGACTGTACTTTCCACCTATTTTTATACTCGTATTATCTTCTGTTCCTCTGGCTGGTATTAAGCAACTCCAGCTATTTACTATTCGTGGTTCACTCTACAGTTTTCACCCAACCAGTATCTTTCTGTGTCTTCCCTCCTTCCCTTCCACAAAATCTAGCCATTGAAGGCTAGATTGATAGCTAGTAATGAAAAGATTGGTACGGTCCATATTACTGTTGGTACTCAATGACATCAGAATGAAACCCACTTTGATATGCTTGTTAATGTGTATTTTTAGTCTGGCTTTTCAGTATTGTGTTCCTTTTGTTTTGCTTTCTGTGGTATTTTTAAGATTCCTTTCTCTCCAATCTGCTATTAAAACCTATATTGTTTAATTTATTTTTCTCTTTTTTTTTTTCCCAAAAACATTTGTTCTTCCACAAAACTTCAGGTCTGCACTTAAAATGAAAAGCTGAGTAGAACTATGTAATAATCAACTGGGATTTAATAAATAACAGTCCACTGCAACTAATACACTAAGAACTAATACACTGTGAATTGTAAGGTTTCTTTTGATTTATGCCAGTTCTCTCTCTCCCTCCTCTGCAAAATGTTTTATATACGAGAAAGAACAAATGTGAAGAAAAATGAATCATAAAATAAGCAGTTTTGTACATGATTAAAAAATTCAACAGATTTCCAGAAGAGTGTTTTAATTCTGTCAACTGCTCTGAAGGTAAACATTCTACTGCATTAAGAGAACTAATAAACAGAGTCAGAAATACAAGGCTGCAACTAAGCAAAAACCAATGCACCAGTATAGTTACTCCATTTTCTATTGCACGTGACTATTCCAGACAAGAAAATTGAGGCTATGCTAGGAATTAGCAATTTCTTTGGTGTCTTCCTCATTGAAGTCACTTTCCGTTGGAAAAAAAAATGTTAAAGTCTGCGAGAGGGCACGAGGCCACCTAAAAACAATATTGTCAATCACCAAAAGAGATATTCCTGTTTTTCAGCAGCAGTAGGTTCCAAAACGATGAACTGTTACATTACCATTTAGTTGCCACCTATGCTATCACCTCTAGCAATCCTGAGAAAGATGTCTTGTTGCCTTTCAGATTTTTGCGTTGGTAAACTGAGCAAAATGGATGTCACATTCTTCTGACAGTTTGAAGAAATATGAAAATTGGAAACCACACTTGAAGAAATTCCACATTGTACCATGTCTCCTATACAGCTCAAAAATTCAGCAGCAATGTGTTTAGGTGAGATTAAAGCAGAATACTACACTTAAGTAAGCCTTGGGCAATTGGGTGACTCTCATGTGTTGTTAAGAGTATGCTGCTGATAACGTCACTAAGTAGGTAATTACATAAGAGAAATTTAACCCATGCTACTTTATTTTTAAACTTACAAATGAATTTTCAGATAAGTATCAGCCTCTTTCTACCCCTATCAGAAAAACTAAACCTACTTCATCTATAAATTCAAATTGTTTTCCTCCTTTATAGAAAACTCACTTAAAAAAAATTTATTCCCTTGGAACTACTTTTCAAAGATTGCTGGTAATGAATACAAGGAATGTTTTCTATCATTACCTATTGAATTTTTAATATTCATACCAATTTCAACTCATCCATCTCTTTATATCTCAACACAGACAGTACAACAGAAGTACAAGTAGGTTAGAGAAAGTTGTCTGGTGAAATAAGGATGATAGGACCAGATTGCTTTATCGAAATAATAACAAATGTGAAAGATTACCAGATTATCAGCAACATAGTTTACATCTACACATTAAAAAAAAAAAAAAGAGCCTGTGAATATAGGGTATAAGAATTAATATTTCGTAAGAGTGAAATTCAGCCTCAACCACCTGAAACCTCCCACATGCTTAGATTAAGTAGCCTCTTTGTATACATTCAAGGTAAAAACTTCAGTCTTGATAAGAAACTTAGAAAAATATTATTTAAAAGGAAATTGGTGACCAACAAAGTGATGTAGGTAATGATGGATCCAGGGCTATAAATCCTTACTAACAAATATAACCACTTCTTATATTGTGTGCAGTCTCTACTCATTTAATTTAAATTGAAACAAGTGGATTTTAAAAGAGCAGATGGAAGTCTACTGAGATTGCAGACAGTACATAGCCATATCTTAAACTTACTATGCAACTAAACTCTGCTATCACCACGGCACTTACGTATACCCAATATTGCCTGGATTTGGGAAATCTGTATCTCTCCATAAAGTATTTTCATACTTCAGGTATTAATAATACTTAGCTTGCCCTAATTTTTGAAAACGAGTTTTTGAGGATTTGCAGAGAATGTTTCTGCTTTGTTTTGCTTTTTTCTTTGAACTTCAATTTTGCAGGGAGACGTCCCTCCACACACGCACACACATTTTTCACATCTTTTTGCATTCATTCAGTATTTGATTGAAGAGTTAATTCAGCTCCACTGAACAATGATGGATGTAATGAACAGAAAGGTCTTCCAATGTGAGAGATATTCTTCTCAATTCTTTCTGACAGGCAAGGGATGGTAAATAGACAAAACAGAGTCAAGCTAGGCAGCAAACTTGTAAAAAGAATGACTCTGGTAATGTACAAGGACAGCATGCACATCAATGAATACTTACATAAATGTCTGCACCATAAAATCCATCCTGGTATACAACACTGCAAGGATGCACACACAAAGAAAAACATCCATATTAGTGCATTTCCACATGCAAATGCCACCAACCCCTGCACAGCTGAGGTTAGTCTCGTCACAAGAACAGAGGGAGGGGGGCAGGAAGGCACTCTTCACATTGGTTAAGGAGGTTGGTAGTAATTGTAGAAACTGTACTGAATGCAACATCTTACAAAGTATGCCAAATGCTTAGTCAAAGAGAGGCAAAGCATGGCAGGATCGGAAAATACTTTTGATAAGATTTTGGTTTGGTTTTTTTCTTTCTTTTTTTTTTTTTTAAGAAATCACCTATTGGCAGCATTTTTTCTGCAAATATTTTCATTAGGCCAATCCTACAATCACTTTTAATACATTAACAAAATGCTGTCTCTTGAATTACTACTTTCTTGTCCTGCAATTATGTCAACCCTCTGAAAAAAACCCAGTAGTTCTCATTACTTAGATGGAAAACTAAACACAGCATAAGTTTATATGGTGAGAGAAACGTGAAATAATTATACTGGTGGTATTCTAACCATTGGGTCAAATCTCAATACCTCAAGGTACACAGAGATGAGAGTATTTATAGGTGCCACATTGTTGGCTTGATACACCTTTCTGATAGTGACAAGTCTGTTAGGAATGTCATGGTGTTATTCTTATTAAAAAAAAAAGTATTAACCTTCCTCACTTTATCATTTTACAACTTTGGCAAACATGCCAATGCTTCCGAGTTTTGGTTGGATACATTACTACTTCTTATCTGAAAAAATGTAGTATTTTTATATTGCTGTTTACCCAGAGACTGCTGCATTTCAGCTAAGATAAATGGTCAGTATAAATAGTTCAAAGTTTAGATTTTAACCCTTCCAGATGAATGACAGAGTATGACCAAGATGGTTTAAATGATTACACTAAATAAAACGGGAACTACACGAGACTGGCCTACCAATTACACACATTACGTAAATCCTGTAATTTTACATTCATTTTGCAGTTCTGCAACTTAAACCGGGTGTTTCCAATATCAGAATCAACTCAAGCTCTTTTGAGAGCTAAATATGAGAGCACACAATAGGTTTCTTGCAACAATATTTTCCATTTAAGAATACTATTATCTGGCAATAATAGTTATTACCAAGCTGCTAGCCTAAGCTATTTTGCAATTCCAACAAGAATTTTCATGTCAGAAACCTAACTGATCTATTGAGGTCAATGACCAAAACTCATAGGGCTGAGCTGGTACGTGTCTAAGTCAGAATCACTTGAGAGAATCATAAATATGCATACGTGCACACAAACCACATTGATGATAAAAGTTTGCTATGGAGTAATAATGTGTGAAAATGGCTCCACTTAAATCAGAGCATCTGTCATTTGCTTCAGTAAGGTCAGACCTTTACTCATGTATTTTTCTATTTATTATGTCTGCAGAGCAAAATATGCTAAACCCGGTCTACATTGGTGGCTTTCAGAGAGCTTGGTATTTACACTGTAGTGTACCTTCATTTTGGTTTTGATATTCTGATTATTTTAAAACATTACATGTTTTTCTTACACCTGTTCACATATAAGTAGTAAAACATTCCTCATGACTGTGAGGTAGAAGTACACAACTGTGAACAACATGGAAGGAATTTTATGATACAGAGCTTACTGAAGATTGAGGCTCCAGAACCCCTAGTTCCTCATATCCCTACACCATTCATGCTGGGAGGAGGTTGAGGAGTTGGGAATGGTGGAGTGAAGTTGAGTCTGGGAAGAAGGGGTGGGAGAGGAGAAAGGTGTTTAAGGTTCTGTCTTTGTTTCTATCCATCTGACTGCATTTTAATATGCAATAAATGAAATTAATTTTCAAGTTAAGTCTGTTTTGCCTGTGACGGTAACTGGTAAGCAGTCTCCCTCTCTTTATCTCAACTCAAGAGCTTTTCCATCTTTCTTCCATTCCATACTCTTGAGGAGGGGGAATGTGAAAGAAGCTGGGTGAAGGTCTGGCAGTCAGCCAAGGTCAACCTACCACAGTACATTAAAAATTTCAATGATTGATAAATATTTCCATTTAGAAAATAATGCTTTTGAGAGAACATGTTCCAGAAAAGGAACCTCTTTTCTTCCTCCACTTGGTGATCTGTGGATGTACGGTGAAGATGTCGCAAGATGAATAGGGGCCGATACAGTCTGAATCACCAAGCGGAGCTGGTTGTAATCTTGGATAGGTCACGTCATTAACCCAGGCCTTCCTTTTACGTATAACATTGTCACGTACAGACAGAAACTTGTTTTGAATTCTGAATATGCAATCGCTTGGTAAGTACTATACCGAAGGAGGTACCCAACACTAAAATGAGACATGAATGCATGACTTCGTCATTAAACATGGTTAGTGTTACGATGAAGTGACAGAATCAGGCAAATAACACTCCCAAGCAGGACAAGCACGATGAAAAGATATCAGTTGATTTTATCTTATTTCCTCAATACGGTCTTGTAGTATGATAGTGATGTTAAATATAAAACCTTTTGCTTCTTCTGAAGTTTGAAGAAAAGTAATTCTTCACACTTCATATATTTTTCAGAGAATATTTTCTCTATTCACTGTCCTTGTCGTTTGTTGACTGAATCTTACACCAGTGGAGTCCAATGTCTTTTCTAATAGCACCCTTCATCAGAGGGACAAACAGTAAACCACCAAAAGCTATGTTTTGCTCTTGTGCTTTTCCTTCCTTCAGTATACAATTTTCCAAAGGGTAGTTTGCCTGTCTTATCATCTCCTTTTCTCTCTCTGAAGCTGTAGGCAGAAAACAGATGATAAGTTTCAAGCTTGAGAAGAGACTGAATGCCTCACACAGGGACCATCTCACCACAGCTCCTTTTATACTTTATGTTCAAAAAATGGTCTTGGCAGACAGATAAATCTTGAGTTCCTTGTAAACCAACAGAGGGTCTGGAAATAGCCATATTACTGAAATCTGAGTTACTTCATCCAGGAATAGATGATATAATGCTACCTGGAGGCATTAATTGGGGGATTTACTCAGTTGTATTTTATGATTTCATTGTGTTCAGGAAAACTCAGAGTAGAGAGAAATCTTGATTTAATAAGAAAATGTGTACCTAAATAACATCATGTGTGGCAATCATTTCCTGAAATTATTTTTCTATAATTATGAAAATGTTTTCTCTTTTCTCACAAACTGTAATACATTTGCTTTGCATGGTTTTAGCTGCTTTATTTTGGTCTCTGTGTCTTATTATAATTTTTTTGTAACTATATTAAGACAAACTCTTGACTAGTTTGGATTCCACCTTTCTCATATCCTGGGAGGACTACATCTGTCTTCATTATCATTTTTCTATCCTCATCTTTCAAAAGGATTGTGTTGGATAATCCATCAACGACATAAGAACAGAGTTCTTGACTGCACAAACCTTAGTTCAGTAACTTCACAGCAGCTGAGCATATATAGCCCTCTGCCATATACACACTCTTCACAAGTTAACATAAATAAACCAAGGCAAATTAAGTGCATGATGTGATTGATTTAGTGTAACAAACAGGCGTTACAATCATGATTTCATTCATTGCAATGGGAATCACAGTCATAGTTCACTATTTCCAGTCCATCACAACTAAAAGAAAGCACTTGAGGAACCAAAGTTCTGTTTTCTGATTGCTGGTAGGGTCGCCTTCACTGTCCTACGCGTATATTCCAGTTTTTCATCTCAGAAACCATCTTTTATATGAAGCCTTCATGAAACAAATAACAGAAGAGATGAAACAACTACCTTATTTAAAATAATCCAGAGAAAAGACTGAGAACTAAAGTACTGCCTTTCAACATTCTAATAGCACAACTTTCACTGTTGTAATTATAGAACTGAAACTCTCACATGAGGCTGTTTCAACTTTCTAGGATGTCCTCTAACTGCAGGTTCTTGTCTTTCTAGTTTCAACATTTTCTGCCATGAACTAGTTATATTATCTGCTTTGTAAAATTAATTGAGGGTATCACAGAAGAGAACAAAGCTGGAAGACATAAATAACTATGCGCTGGCAAAAAAAATTTTTTTTTTCTAACAATTGCACACATATACCAAGCATAGAGTCTATAAAGTAAGAGGAAGTTTCAGTGAGCCCAAAGAAATGTATTGGAAAAAATCATAATCACCAGAGTAGATGCAGTAGCTTATATTAATTATCCTTTTTTCTAAAATGCAGAATACGGCGTTGGAAAATAAAGCTGCTTTTTAATTTTGACTCAGCCAGAATGCAGCACTTCAAAACAGTTGTAACAAAGGGGAAAAGTTTCTGAAGAGTCTCTGTTACTTCTCCTCCATTCTCTCCAACTGCACAATTTTATTTAGGGTTGGTGGGTTTTTTTTAATTCTTCTTTTCAAAGGGAAGTAAGAATATTGCTACCCCTTGTTTTCCCAGGAAAGATAACAGAAGTGGAGATACGGACTGAAAGCTAATTCTGTTAGCTTCATCAGAACTGGAAGGAGTGGAGAGGAAATGTGAAGACAAAAGTCATCACACACTAAACTTGTGAATAACTTGAGGCAAACGATGCTGCAATAGAAGGGCTTCTCATTAGTTTCACTAATAAAGCTATCTTCTACTACTACTATCTGCTATACCACCAGATCTAGAGAGACACTGGCTTTTCTTGACAGTAGTATAAAGACGGAGCATCGTATTCATGATGTTTTACTATCTGGTAAATGATTCTCAAGAATGCTGAGCTACTAGTTGCTGCAGAGTCCAAAAGCAATTACAGGTATCAAAATCAGATCACTTGCTTGCAGAGAACAAAACCTGCTTCTGTCTCCTTTCTTTTGGCAATGTCAGTACTGCCAACTGCATTCAAAAATCTGTCATAAGAGTACATTTACTAGTAGCTTTTGTTGTAGTTAGACATTTCTTACACCATTAATAGGCATTTTGTCAATAAAACAGATAGACCTAGAAAGACACAGGTCAAGCCAAGAAGACATTGTTTTTTATATCACTGCCTCTTTTTCACAAAACACTACCTAGTAGCCAGAAAGAAGACTGCAAGAAAGGTCAAAGAAGCAGTAAGCTCAAATCCTGCCACATGGAAGGTGTCCCAAGAAAGAAGGTATTAAAGGAATTTAGTCAGCTTAAAATAGTAACTGCTTTACTCCTCAACCAAGTCACCAGTCTTGCTGTGAAGTTCCTGGAGAGCCCCTTGAGATAAGCAGGCAGTAGCTCATAGCTCCACAGCTACATCCTCCCACACCGACAGGCTCTGATCTCTGTGCACCTCTCATGCCATACACAACATGACCATCTCTTGCTTCTCTTCCTCCTGCAGCATAGTGTCAAAGCTAAGCTCTCCTTGCCACACAGATCTCCAAACTCTTTAAATCTCAGCACTCAGTTTTCTCACACAAATGAAACTTTACTCCCTCATTTCAGTTTCAGTAAGTTTTTATGGTACATAAATGAATTATACATACGAAGTTATGAGTAAGCTGCACATTATAGTATTTCTAGGCATTAGAAATGATGTCACAGATACTAAAAATGAAGTATTTTCCATGAGCTAATAAACAAGATGCTATCTCAAGGAATCAGTGAAATGCCTCACTCACAAGTAAAAGTCCCATTAATTATTCATGTAGCGCTACATATCTCATGCACACTGATTTTATTTTTAAATCACACATTTTAAAGCATGCGTGCTGTTCTTTGATTCATAGCAAACAGTGGCCTTAAATACAGCTATAATCAATAATTTTCCTTAGACCTAGCAAAGTGTCCCATATTTGCTGCTTCCCACTGTCAAGCACAGGAGAAGAGAGTTTTCCATATGAATCACACTAACTTGTTTTGTCTAATGACCACAAGATCTTCTAGATTTCCTTACAGACCGGGACGAGTTGCCATTTCTTCAATTTGTTGATAAACAGTTTCTAAGAAAAGGTCACAGTCAGCTTCAAAGAGGACACCGGTGAACAAGAACAACTACAGATTCAAGGGAGATGTAACAGAAAGGCAGCTTTTGGTACAGAGCAGGGAACCCTGAGACAGTGCTGCTGAGATAAACACTGGTAAGCAGCATGTCAGACTTGTCTAAGAAATACACATAAGTCTTAGCTTTACAGTTGATTTCCAAATTTAAAGCAAAATGATTCTGTTCCAAAACTTTGTAATATAAATAAGTGTGAAGAATATTATTTCAGATCAAGCAGTATATTTTATTTCTGTAAGAAGCTTTCTAAGGTGAACGAAATAAAAGAAAATGAAAAAGGTCATTTCAAACTTCAGCTTTGTAATTTATACTTATATATGGGTTCTGTTTTAAAAAGAAAACTAATATTTTTCTAACTAAACATTGATGGATTTTCACGTAAATTTATAATTAAAATTATATCTGTCATCATACAAAATAAATGTTTGGGGTTTTTTAATGGTTGAAAATATTTTAGTACGATATTGTTTGCTTGGCTCTAAGGCTGGGATCCTTCTTTGAGTGAAAAATGAGAAATTGCTACTAAATTAAATGCAAAATAGCATTCAAAGCTTTTTCATTTTTTTTATTAACAAATGATATTCTAAGTTGTTTGCTTCCTTAATTTGATTCATTCTTTGTGATCTATTATCTCTAATTTTCCTTGACTCCTACTTTCATTGTGACTGAGAGTCGCATTCTTCTATTTTCATTGATTAAGGATTTTTTGTGATGAAAATTCCTTTTTGCTTCTTCGATAGGTCAGGGTACATAATAGGTGAGCACAGAACAAAGGATTGCAAAGAAATTCCAAATTGTACTGTTGTGTCAGTGAAGTTACTAGCACAAGATCCAATACGCTAGGGCAAAGAAATTATTACAGAATAAAGCTTTATTAATCGAACAGTGAATCAGTGCAATGGAGATATATATTATTTCTGCACTGATAAATGAATAACAAAAGTTGGAAATTAGTTTTGTGCATTGGAAAGCAGTGCCTTATTATAAAAAAGAGGTGGATGGAGAAAATAACACCTAACTAACATCTGAACTAAGACTTATCTAAATTAAGACAAAGCTTACTAATTGAAAACTTTTGCAGAGTCAAATTGTGTTAGAAAACATACTGACTGGCAAGGCGAGCCCTAGATTACCAAGAGTTCATCTCCGACAGTTGGAAGTCATCAGAAGAACGAGAATATGTGACTTCTTAATGACGCAATGGATGCTCCCTCTGAAGTCAGCTTTAAGGACAGGTCATCAAGATAACAGGTGAGATCTGTCCAAATCTAACTGTCAAACCATCCTGCAGAAGAATGTAAGAGTGCTGAGCTGCCCTCTCTTGGAACTCAGTTCTGAAACACGTCATCAAGATAACAGGTGAGATCTGTCCAAAGCTAACTGTCAAACCATCCTGCAGAACACTAAGAGTGCTGAGCTGCCCTCTTGGAACTCAGTTCTGAAACATGCTGAACCTGACTGCAGTGCAAAACGTCTGTATTAACTTACACCAGCAGTTCACAACACTTAGACACTTAGATATCAAACTTACTACCTAAAGATGCTGGAAGTAAGCAGTACAATTGCATAAGAATATATATATGTTACACTTGGAAATTTAATTCTTTTTTGTCACTGCACTAACTAAACTATAAAAATTTATATAACACACACATACACACCAAGCACCCACATGTGGCCTCTTAAATTCAAGCAAATTTAAGTTATTTACTGGTCTGAAAATATTTATTCATTTTGCAAATACTCATAAAAAAAGTATTGTTCAATTAAAAGACTGTATCTCACATAGCTGGTATATATTTTCTTACGTTACTTTATGACTTTGTATTAAATTAAGGTATTATGTTTGTGACATCATGAAACTGGTAATAACCCATGTTGTTATCTTGCTACACATTGTACACTGTGCTCAAATTTAAGAATTTCCGTAAAATAAGTCGAGATGGAAAGAGTTCACTTCCTTTATATGAAGTATCCGTCTCATAGCTGAGACATTCAGATTGAAGTTGGCTCCTGCAGGACATTCTAAACTTGTTCCTGTCATTGCCACGTACAAATATGTGGACTAACTCTATAAAGAGATTCTAGCCAACAGTAGGATAACTTTGGTGGGACACCATCCTTGTCCAGCAGTAACCCAGGTAATCTCCAAAATCATGGTGCCTTCCTCCAGTAGTGGTAATATTGTTTTGCTTATTAAATTAATATTAAACTACACAAAGCATTTAAGTTAAAAAAATAGAATACGCTTTTAAAAATAACCTGTTTCTGAGGGATCATTTTTGTATTCATTGTAACATCTTATTTCTCAGAGGTGGCAACTGCCCAATGTGAAGGGATGGTCAAAGTGCTTGTCTTAAATATCCCTGAAAATTCAGTTCAATTGCTGACCGACTATATTAGCAAACATGTCTAGAAACAGACGTGCCTTTTGGCTTAACAGAACAAAGGCTTCATGAGAAACTGAGGGAAGTAGTGAAGGGCACCCATCTTCCACCCACCGTAACGAAGTAGGAGGACAGGGTGGAAGCACAATCTTGTGCTGCAAGCTCCCTTCCGAGGGGTTATCCACAGTGAGAGCAGAGTTGCTGCTGAACAGGATTTTAGTGAGGCCAGAGGGAACGAGATCACCTTCACTCAAAGACTTCGCGAACCCTTCCTGACACTTTCTCAGAAAGATCTCGTTGCTCTACAGAGAGGTAGTGGCATATCTACTTCAAATTTTTATGACAAAATACTATCCTGGGCTGGGAACTATGAAGTTTTCTGATTTACCAAACTTCTCAATTTCTTAATAGCTGAAAATCTGTTGACATTGTTACGGATTTAAACACCATATGCAGCTAAAAAAAAACCACCCACACTTTTCTGTGTCAGCATTTATAGAGCTACAGGAGAATTTGTTCCTTCCTTCTTTCCCTCAAAACTATACCTAAAAAAAATAAATCTTCTGAAATAACAGAAGATTATTGAGTTTCTGGAAATTATTACTATGAATTTCTCTCCTTTGTTCCTTAGTTTACTACCTGATTTTAGTAAATGTAGGTCACCGACAGTGAAATCTTAAGGTATTACTTAAGCAAATGTACTGAAAAACACATGGCCCTGAGAGGAGCACCCCAGATTTCTATCCTGGTAAAGAGGTCAACTAGAAAAACTAAACAAACTGTAATAAAATAATAATTAAAAAACCCACACCACTAAGCCTTATCGTCCAGAGACAAGCTTCAGTGGATGATTTGAAGAAAAAGAAGTTAACTTGATCCAACCTCCTTAATAACCAGATGTTTGCAATCATCAAAAATATATCTTTAGCTGAAACAATTTCTCTGTTCCACAGCATTCGGTTTCTAAGAGCATTTACATAACAATATGTGACATCTGAAATGCTTAAGGCCACCAACCATGGCAGTACAAATTACAGTCATTTTTCAATACTGCGTGCAAGGTGCACCACTTCCAGCGCTGGGACTGGTTGCACGCCGCCGTGGTTTCTGCAATGAGACCCCGTCAGCATGCACCACAGTCACGGGCAGTTTGCACCCTCTGGAGACTCATGCTAATCAGTAAAAGAGGCTCATCTCCTTACCCGCCGTAGGCTGGAATGGGAGGAGGGGGGGCTGCTGCACGAAACGTGTTGTAGACCGTGCGACCTCGGCCTCTTAGATGTGCACCTCTGTAAGCAGCAGCTGCAGTTGCAGCAGGGTAGGGAAATCCTGGCACTGTGAAGGAAAGGAGAGGAACGGAAAATATTCAGATCAATCTAGTGTTTTGAACCAAACGTAGCATAGCAGCATCTTTGTGCTTATATTAAAGCTTGTCTATAACTGGATGAGGGAGTTGCCAAATAAGTAAAGTAAAAAGTAAAAGCCTTTTAGCTAGAGGTCTCATCTAGGTCTTTGTATGCAGCAGGAGACAGCAATCTAGGAATTTAGATGGCACTATCATACGTGGTTCTGAGTCTCTTAAAAGACGCTCATTATTAAAAACATTGTTGACTGTTTTAGCCAACACTGCTACCAGGAGACTCTGGAGGTTCCAAGTCGCTCAGTTCAGGTTCACATTTATAATGCCAGAGACATTTCCATCACATTATTGGATCTATCTTCAAAAGTCAGTCCTGCTTTGAGTGGAGGTGAGGCATTAGACCAGGTGACCTCCAGTGACTTAAACAATCCAGTGATTTTACCAATCTAACAGAGCTTTACTTTTGTTCAAAAGTTGATTATTATCTGGGTCTTAATTGTGTATCAAGGGAAAGAAAGACAGAGCAAGAGTTTTCTTAGATTTTGGGGGTGTACTTTTGTTCATAACAGTACTTATTATTCCTTCAAAGGCAAGGGTTGCATGGTTTGGAAATATCTATATGAATTCAGATAATACTCAGAACCAATAGAAAAAATCTAGACATATAAAAAAGAAATTGACTCAGATATTTTGATATTGTCATTGCAACTAAGTGTAAACATTAATTACCATTCCATGTGAGACTTAAAATATTTTAAACAGAAATTGAACAGTAATACAGTACTACTTAGAGGTTGGGTGTTTTTTTTTTTTTTCTGTAAAATGTCTGTAAAATATCTCTCTTCATAAACTTCTAATTGAAAATAAAAAGTAAACTTTCCACTTTTCTCTGCCATTTTTTAACCAATATTTCATTACTTCATTTCTCCTTTGTATATATATTTCTGGCCAATGATAGGATAAGTATTCTTGGAATGAATTCATCAGTGAGAAAAAAATCAAATCCAGCTCTGTTGGCACTCAGGTTACTTCAGTTGTGCTTCATTGTTGATTTTTTTTCAGTTTGTAAATAAAGAGATAAAAGAAATAAATACTGCTTAACAAAGTCCTAATAAGAAGCAAGAAAATGGAAGTTATGATGTATAAACCAGTAAGTTTTTCAAGCCTGAAATACCAATTGATTTTAATCCACATTTGTCTTTAATTTATTTTAGCATTAATTTTTAAAAAATACTTGAATTTGAAAAAGAAAATGAAAAATTCACAACTTGTAGATCTCGCTGACTGAACACATGAAGGAAAATACCGTAATTATGGTAACTTCTCCGTTACTGCCTGACTACTAGTAGGTCCTTCTCACTGACAAAAAGGTTGTACAGTAATTCTGCAAAGATTTACATGTCTGTCATACAACATAAAACAACCTTATGGCAATGAAATTAAATGAAAATAGTATTTTAAAAAGTTCAAATACTATATTTTTATTCCTCTTTCTGTAAAAAAAAAAAAAGTGTCAAAATCAGAATGATGAACTTGCAGAACTCTATATCCTGTTGATAACTTTGCAATTGACTGCATTTAAGAAGGCTTAAAGAAATAGTCATGGATAACATTTTTTCTGGGAAAATGAACATACATATCATATACTTGGAAACTTGGATGCAGTAAGTACTTTTGTTTATGCAACAACGTTGAATATTGACCACTATAAATACAGAAGTGTTAGAATCATGACCTACTGCTGAGACTATGTAACTTTTGCCCTTTTCATTTCAAAGTAAACATCAACAGTCTTGCAAAAAAATTAGTAGAACGTGCATATCGCATTGGGTCTGGCTGAGATGGAGTTAATTCTCCCCATAGCAGCTCTCATAGTGCTGTGCTTTGTACCGGTAGCTAGAGAGGTGTTGGTAACACCCCAGCGTTTTGGCTACTGCTTGCAGGGCTTACACAGCACCTAGGCTGGCTCTCCAACATTCCTCCCGTCAAGTAGGCTGGAGGCAGGCAAGATCTTGGGAGTGGACATGGTCAGGACAGCTGACTCAAACTGACCAAAGGGATATTCCCTCCTATATGACGTCTGCTCAGCAATAAAACCTAAGAGAAAGGAGAAGGGGGGGCATTTGTTATTACAACATTTGTCTTCCGGAGCAACTAGTACGTGTACTGAAGTCCTGCTTCCAGGGAAGTGGCTGGATGTTGCCTGCTGATGGGAAGCAGAGAATAAATCTTTTGTTTTCCTTTGCTGCCGCGCCTGGCCTTTGCTTTTGCTTTATTAAACCGCCTTTATCTTGACCCACAAGTTTTTTCCTATCTTATTTTCTCCCCCACTCACTGTCCTGCTGAGGAGGAGAGTGATAGAGCAGCTTGGTGGGCACCTGGCATCCAGCCAAAGTCAATCTACCACATATATGAAAATGTGAAAGATATCTTTTAGCAGACTGAAGATATAAGCAAACATTATAGTAAAAAGATCTACAGGCTGTGCTGCAGTTCCTCTGATAGGATGGACTATTTCCCCATAGTAACAGATAAATAAAAGGTGCAATGCTCTGATCAAATTTCATAGATGGAAGCTACCAATACGAGAAAAGCACGAGGGTTGGACATCATGGCATCATTGTTCGCTTCTGGCCCTTAGAGAATGCATTTGTGAATGCCACATGCTGGAGACTTCCTGTCTTGGCTTAAATTAGGCGATGTGCACAACACACATTTTAAATAGTCACTTATTATAACTATAATCATGTCTGTTACTTCTGTAAGAGAAATAATAAAGTGGACTCTTCAGCGTGGAAAAGAAGTGACCGTGAAGCTACGACAAAGCTCCACAATTGTGAATAATGAGAAAACATGGGAAAAGATGGCTCTTCACACAACCTCTAATTAAGTCACTATGGAACTTTCTGTCGCTGGATGTTACAGATGCTAAAAGTTTAAATGACTGAAAAAGATGAACAGTTTCCCTGCACAGAAACAGTATACAGACATCACCTCTGGTATACAAAACCACTCCAAATTGCACAAAGCCAACAGAATGTTCAAAGAACTATATACATGCACACTAGCTCTAGTATTACAACCTTTACAATCCAGCTTTTGCTCCTTTCCAAGCACAGGGTATTGGACTAGATGGAGAACAAATCTAACCATATGAATATCTTTGTTATCAGATCAATGTTTAGCTGCAGTCTGACTGCATTAGAAAAATGACTCTTTGCCACCTAGATAGTCATTTCTAGAAGTAAGTTTCTCCAACAGGTTTGAGACCTGTTGTACCTTCTTTTTTTCAAATGATGCAAATAAATAAATAAAAATAAAACTCCTCCAAAAACCAGTGCTGAGAAGAGTTTGCTTAAGCAAATGGGAAAAAATGGACTTTAGAGTCTGGCCAGGAAAAAATGGTATCTGAAACAGCAGATAGCTTCATAATGAATCCGAAGGTTGGTGTTTTGCGGCTAGATTTAGAAAAAATGCAGTCTTTAGAGATACTCTTAAATACCAAGATTAAGAGAAATTTCTCAGACCTAAAGCCATTGACAAAAAACTACTTAAATCTGACAACCTTTGAGCAGCTTGGACAACTTATTTACTTACACATGTGCATCTGTAGTTCTCGACATATTGACAAAAAAACATACTTTCACAAGAAAAACAGCAGACACGGCAAAGAAAACCAAACCAACTCAAAAAAGTCTAAGCTTAAGCAATGTAAGGTATCTAACAATGTTGTGGGCTTGCAATACATGATCTGAAAATTCCTGCTCTAAGATCTGTTACAGCAATTAATTCTCTGTAGTTAACATCTATGTTTGGCAATATTTAAATCAGATAACTGATTAACCAATTCCTCCATCCAGCCAAACACATTATGCATGTATGTGAAGAACGGATCTATCTCTTGATTTTGAGAATAAATCAGTAAATATAGGTCTGATAAAAACTAACTAGAATTGTGCAGAACTTGTATGGGAGACACTGAGGATAAACCACTGCGAAAGCCTGAACTCCTGAAGTGTTTTGAGCATCTTTTTACTTTGAATTGTACCACTCAAACCAGGTTTCATGTAGACATTTTAAAACATATATTTTGCAATAATTGAGCATTTATCCTAAATACTCTTTAATCTTCATGGTGGTTGTACCTTGGAAAGAATTACAAGGGCCACTGACCTTAAATCTTTGCCAGTGAATGGTTCTCTGTAAAGAAATGTCACCGGAAAAGCAGAGTGCCCCCATCAAGGAATGAGTGAAAAGAACAGAAAATATTTCTTTTACAATAAATGTTTATGAGAAAGAAGGTTTTCTCCTATGAAAGAGAAGAAAAAGCTAGAAGATAGAGATAGCAGAAAGAGTCACTTAGCCCGTAAGTGTTTACCAAACCCAGAACACTTAATGGAGGCTCAGCATTCATGGAAGATACTAAGACAAGATAGAGATTTCTACCATTTTCAAAGGATCTGCAACACAAAGGATGTGTTAGAATGAAAAGCCTGAAGTAATTTAATTGCTTTGCTATGCTTGCCTTGCATCGTCTCCTTAATAAAATCATGACGCATGTAATGTCTAGAGTAAAGCAAACCTCTAAAAAAGCTTGTAGAAGCAATTAGTAGAAGGTAGAGCAATGATTTGGAGTTCTGTCAGGAAGAGGATAAGACATGATAGAAAGTAAGCCTAAGAAACATGGAACTAACAGTAACATTGCAAGGTCTTATGATCAAGTGAGGTCTAACAGTAGAGCTCATATATAAAAGAACTATATCCATCCCCAAAAATTGACTTGGGTCAGTCTGAAAATCAGAGTATCTGAAAACATGCCATCTATTTCCACGTAGTAATATTAAATATTAAAGATTAAGATTAGAGGTTAAATAATCAACAAGGTCATCTCACCCTATATTTGAGTTCAGCAAAAAAAACTATGCTACTCCAGCCCAGCTGATAAATCAGATGGCTAAGAATATCTAGTAACCAC